TATATCCTTCCCTTCAAGGCTCAGAGGTCCAAGATTATCTTCTGTGTCTGTGTTAATTGGTTTCCCTTTTCTTTGTTGAAGAGTGTCTGTGCAGTCTTTCTGCCTAGTCTGCCATCTTGCCGGAACTCCCCAAGACAGTAATTCTTTATGAAGCAGACTATCTCATCTTTCTTCTATGGAGCAGCTGATGGGTTTGAACCACTAATGTTTTGGTCAGCAGCCAAATACCTTAACCACTGTACTACCAGAGCTCCATATATATGTACATATGTATATATATTATGATTCTAAAATCGGATATGAATGTCTATGCACTTAGGGATATAAAACGTCATGGCATATACATGAATAAAATCAATACAATTTTAGTAGATTATTATCTTCTGATAGTAGCTTGTGGGTGATTTTTATCGTTTGTGCATAATTTTCTTAAAATGAGCATATATTACTTTTATTATGAGAAAAAAAATGCATCTCTTTAAAATTCTAAAGATGAGCATTTTTGAAAGCTGAGACTTTATTGGTCTTGTTTTGTTTACATTATGTCTTACTGTAGTTATTGACTCCCATTCCCTTCTTGAGCTGTACCTTTTAGGAGAGCAACCACCTTTCCTTCCTCAGGAGAGAGCCCTGCATCACCTTTCTCCTCTCAGTTGGTGCCCGGTAACTGTTTACTAATCCACTAAATGTCTAATAATTCAATGACTGTTTGATAATTCATTGCTTTGCAGGAGGACGAGGTGAAGCTGGCTCCAAAGGACACCCAGGATCCCCGGGAAGGACGGGTCTTCCGGGATTTCCAGTATGATTTTGTGCTTTGGAAGCTTTTGCTTCAATCTGTGAATATAGTTCCACCACACACAGGTCATGAGTTAGGTACCAGGCAAAGATGAGGCTCTTAATACATAATTGTTGATTCAGTGAATAAATGTGTGAATGAGCAAATGAGTGAATTAATAAATTTATAGACATTGAAAATGGTATCAGAGACAGAAGACAGTTCATTGGTGGCTGGAGGCTGAGGGTTGGAATAGAGATTGACTACAAATGGGTTTAAGAGAATATGGGGGAGTGATGGAAATTGCTTAACACTGGATGTGGCAACTGATGTGTAACTCTATAAATTTTACAGTGTGTGGCATACCTCAGTAAAGCCTTTCTAAAAATTTAAAATGTGATTATTATAGTGAATCTTCTGAGGTGATATCACTACAGAAGTAGATTGCCCAACCTTCTTTCCAAAAATATATATGGACAAATACTTATAAATCAAATTATCCTGAAGTACATGTTAAAATTTACCAGTACTCAAGTGTGATATGAATTATGATGGCTAGTAGCATGTTGAATTATATCACAGTATGGATTGCATTGACTTGCACTAACTGTATCCTATTCCTGACAATTTAAAACTATGTTTCTAGGCCAAGAAACATTTCTTTCAAAAAATCCACGTTCATTCAAATGGAAGAACTCTTGTTGAGCTCAGTTTAAGACTGGCACAAGAATGACTATCCCGATGCAATGCAATCCCATTTCTGTCCTGCCCTAGGGCTTTCCAGGAGCTCAAGGTGACCCTGGATTTAAAGGAGAAAAAGGAGAAACATCTCAGCCAGTGGGGCAGACGGGTGATCCAGGAGATCCAGGAATCAGAGGTTATCCAGGAAGAAAGGGCTTGGATGGAATTCCTGGAACACCTGGAGTGAAAGGATTACCAGGACCTAAAGGCCAACCGGTTGGTATTTTTCAGAGTTTACCCATTACACTCTCTGTAAATGAAGTCATCTGAAGTCAGGGGATTAAGTGATCTCCCTTTAAAAAGTGGATCATGTGATGCTTTCATTGGCATCCCACTGACCTCTCTATTGATTCTGGTAAAGGTGTTGGAAGGTGGGGGGTGGGAATCAAGGAGACAATAGGTGGAGTCTTATGTCCTACCATTATAAAAAGACATCAGATCTGTTACTTGGTATCCTCTTAGGGAAGGGGAGGACTTTGATATTTTTGTCAAATTTAACTTTAAAATATACAAGTCATTTTCAAAGTTAACCAGAACCAAACCCATTGCCATCAAGTCAATTCCAACTTGCAGCAACCGTATAGGACAGAGTAGAACTGCCCCATAGTGTTTCCAAGGCTGTAGATCTTTATGGAAGCAGACTGCCCCATCCTTCTCCCTCAGGGTAATTGGTGGGTTCAGTTCATTGACCTTTTTGCTCAGCAGCCAAATGCTTTGACTAGTACACCACCAGAGCTCCTCATTTTCAAAGTTGCAGCCTATAAAAGGAAAAAAGAAAAAAAAAAAAAAAAATGGGGAGGGGCATTTTATGAGGAAACAAAATAATACAGATGGGATTTCTCCTTTGTAATGGAAATATCTGGTTGAAAGCCACACAACTAAAGGTTTGCTATACTGTTTTTTGCCTGGAAATGGACCAGTAGCATAGACTATCACCTCTAATGCTAGTTGAACTGTTGGGCAATCTGAAGTTGTTTTAGGGGCTGTTACCATATGGGTGCAGGTCCCTGGGTGGTGGAAACAATTTGCCCTCATCCACTAAGTGAAAGGTTGGTGGTTCAAACTCACCCAGGCGCACCACAGAAGGAAGGTCTCCAATCTGCTTCCATAAAGGTAACAGCCAAGAAAACTCTACAGAACTCAGTTGTGCTCTTTAACCCATAGGGTCACCATGAGTCAGAATCAACTTGGTGACAGTGGGCGTGGTTTTCTCATGTGGTTGGCATATCACTGTAGGGCATCTTGAGTGGGACTCAAGACAATTCCAAATTAATGAGATGTTGCAGAATCCCAAGGGCACAGACAGCAGAAACCATATAATGCTCCTAAAAAACTAAAAACAAACTAGTTGCTGTCCGGTCAATTCTGATTCACGGCAACCCCAAGCATGTCACAGGAAACATAGTAGACGCTCCATAGAGCCTCCATTGGCTGTGACCTTTCAGAAATAGGTCACCAGGCCTTTCTTCTGAGCCACCTCTGTGGATTTGAACCACCAAGCTTTGAGTTAGCAACCATGTGCTTAACCCAGTGACTCCATATTTTAACAGTAATTCCCAACAAATGCCAACTGATTTTTAACTCAGTATCTATTTAGCAAGGAGCCTGGTAGTACAGTGCTTAAGCTCATTAACCAAAAGGTCCACAGTTTGAACCTACCAGTGACTCCTTGGGTGAAAAATATGGCAGTCTGCTTTTGTAAAGGTTACAGCTTTGGAAATACTATGAGGCAGTTCTACTCAGTATTATAGTGTCACAATGAGTCAGAATTGACTAGATGACAACTTTTTTTTTTCCTTATTGTTGTTGTTCTTTGTTTTCTTTTAAATCTCTTCTATGAAGGCCTAACTGGTATTCATCTCATGGTAGGAATAACTTGTGTGAGGTGTTACTGGATACTATCCAGTATCCAAATACTGGATACTGGATACTACTCAGACATGTTCCTATTGTCACAGGCCCTGAGTGGTGAGAAGGGGGACCAGGGTCCTCCAGGGGATCCTGGCATCCCTGGGTCCCCAGGACCAGCAGGACCAGCTGGACCACCCAACTTTGGACCCCAAGGAGAGCCAGGTTCAAAGGGAGAGCAAGGAGTTCCTGGAGCCCCTGGACCACCAGGAGAAGTCGGTTGGTTAGTTTTCTGACCATTCTTGTTTTCCGTTGGAGTGGGAAGACAGTCTTAGAGTTAGTGAAGCTTCACGGAGAATAATAAAGATAGAAAAACTTGTTCTAATATATAGAATGTGTCAGTCCACGGGCAGAGGGAGAGAACGTGTGGTTTATATTAGAGAAAAGCAATTTTGTAGAATAAGCTCTTTTAATACATTAGCATACTAGGCTATTAATTAAAACAAGACTTGAAGAACAATAGGTGCTTGTAAATATTTGTTGATTGAGAAAATTTCTGTGGATCCTTAAGCCAGTTTAAAAGCCTGTGGGAAGCAGAGACTATTTTTAATTTTTCTTTGGATATTTTCAGAAACCTCTTATAATCATATTTTTTTCCCTAAGAACAAGAAAAGTTACACTATGCACACCACATGCTATGATCACACATTTTCTTAAGGTCCTAAAGGAGAACTCAGTGTTGCAACACCAGTCCCAGGCCCCCCAGGACTTCCAGGGCCCCCTGGTCAATCTGGCCCCCATGGTCCCCCGGGTGAGTATTCTGTTTACCATATGTGGTGCGTGTATCAGATGGCACCCTAACTCTCCTGGCAAAATTCTGTTCCCGTTAAAAGGAGAAATACATTCGTCCTGGCTCCAAAAGAGAGCCAAGGCCAGAGTCCTATCAGATAGCAAGCAGCAGGCAGGAACTTCCTGATGTCCTTTGAAGTTACCCAAATTACCATATTTTTGGCATATAATGCACCCATGAAAATAATGCATAAATGCGTATGAAGTACACAGCACTCATAGAAAATGAATGTGTGAGGGAGTTGTACAATTTGCAAAAAAGATACAGCAAAAAAAAAAAAAAAAAAAAACTCACTGCTGTCAAGTCAGTTTGACTCATAGCAACCCTTCCTTGGGTTTCCGAGGCGGTATCTCTGCAGAAGTACATTGCCCAGTCTTCCTTCCCAGGAGTGGCTGGTGGGTTTGAACCGCCAGCCTTCTGGTTAGCAGTCACATGCCTTAAGCACTATGCCACCAGATAGCACATGCATTATTTGCATTAAAAAATATGGTATTCCTTCTTAGTGCCTCTAATTCCAAAGGAGAGTTGATATAATTACTTAAGAGGAATTCTAGAACAGACCATTCTTCATGGATTTTTGGTCAGGGATGGAGTAATTTCTCCCAGAGGTTAACTGGGATTTTTCATGATCCCTCCTTGGGTCAATTTAATTTCTTTCCCAACATGTTCTCAAACTTCATTTTCAATACAAGTAGTACCTAGAATATTTCCTTTTATGAATTAAATTATATTTTAAAAATTCTTTGCAGCTGTTAATCTCTTAGCCCAGCGAGTAAGGGTGGAGAACAAGGGTGTATGTGGTTGACAATATGTGATAAGCGTTCTTAATCTTCAGATAGGTGGGGGATGACACAGAGCATTTAGATGTTTTGTTTTAAGGTAAGATGATGGAAAGTTGCTGATGTGGATGTGTGTGTGTGTGTGTGTGTGTTTAAGGTATCCCAGGACCCATGGGGAGTTGTGGGGATCCAGGCCTCCCTGGGCTTGATGGTGAACCAGGAATTTCAGGCATTGGATTTCCTGGGCCTCCTGGACCTAAAGGTAAATTTAAAATGCTTTAAATGTAAGGTTCATTGTGGACATTTAGGAAATATAAATATATACAATGCATAACAAAGGCAGCATCCCTGATATCTTTGAAAATTGTGTTTTCCAAAACTCATAAATGGGAAGGTCTTACAGTAGGTCTTACAGTTAGGCAAAAAGGCAGAATCCATATTTATTTATAACCATGTCATCTCAATTGTATTTGTTTGAAATGCATAGGAAACAACTGGAAGGGAATTCATCAAAATGGCAATAGCAATTTCTTTTTTATTGTGGGATTGTAAGGAATTTTTTCCCTTCACTTCTTAATAGACTTCTGCATTTTTCACACTTATACATATCTTCACTATATTCATTTCTCTTATAATCCAATAAGTAGACATGGGTGGATGGATGGGTGAATGGATGGATGGATGGTTGGTTTGGGTGGGTGGGTGGATGGATGGATGGGTGAATGGATGGATGGATGGCTGGTTTGGGTGGGTGGGTGGATGGATGGATGAGTGAATGGATGGATGGATGGTTGGTTTTGGTGGGTGGGTGGATGG